TGGCCCCTTTTTCGAAACGCCCCGTTTTCAAATGTCGCCACTCTGGACATCGTTTTCAAATGTATGCGTTTTCGATGCAAACGATCAGCGTTGTAGTGGTATGCGTTCAGTTTTCAAACGAAAACGCATCAGTGTGAATGGGGCGTTCAGTAGACAATCACAACCCGAGCAATACCATAGAACTCACGTTAGTACTAATTAACAACTTACATGGCTCCATGCCATCTCCGTCGTCGCGAAAACATAAAAGAAACTTGCCTCTGCAGGACTCGCAAGGTTCTGAAAGGTTATTAAAAATAAAACAATTCACTTCGTTGAGAATATTCCAGGCCCTGTTACACTGTGCCATTGTTAGCCTTAGGTGTAATTATTTTAGAGCTACTCGTGTTTCAAAATTAGTTTCGTCTAATTATCCCACGCGGTTGTCGGGCTCTGACCTTCTCGCGCGGTACTTGGCCACAACCATGCGAGTGTAAGAGTGTAAAGACAACACTACTTCCATGATAATCAAGGATATAATTTGTAGCAAGTTTTATTAGCCTACAGTCGAACCTCCCGCCTCCCATAGGCGGACACTACGTCATGGTCCCAGTTACATACAAACACTACACTTTTAACCTCTCATAAGCGCACACCTCTTCCAAGCGAACACTTTTTCTGGTACCAAGGGTGTCCGCTTACGGGAGGTTCGACTGTATTTCCGAGTTATCAAATGTGTGGAGTCGGGACTGGCGTCAAAAGTTCGGCACGGAAGCGGAGGTAAGAGCGAAGTTGCCTGATTTCAGATCCAAAATTCCGCGAATGTTGAGTAGATTTTAACGTCTGGCTTCACGAAATTTGTCCGGAATTTGCACAAATCAACGGCGGTAAGTTGTCACATACGGCGTTTTCTCCTCATACCTTTCCCCACTCGCTCTTCTCAACTGTCTCACAACACCGAAACAGAAGCAAGACATTTTGGTGACCGCGGAGGATTGAAAACGGCCAGTGGTAAAGAGAAACGAGAACAAATATCGTTCGCCTAAAGTTTGAAACGAAGAATAAGGGTGCGTTGAATTCAACCTCGTTCCCAGGGTCTCTCTTCTTCCCGCCATTCCGGTATAAGACTATATTCCGTATTATAATAACTTCATCGGGCATTGTGGCGTATTTTGCGGGCTAAAATGGAGAATTCAGCGGGCTAAAATATATTTTAGCCCGCTGAACTGAGCCAATCAGAAACAAGAAAATAACGTAGCAGCCAATCAGAACTGGAAACCATTCAACTGTTCGCGCCGTTTTCTTGGAATTCAAAGCGCCGTTGACTCGAAGTGCTGCCATCTGCAGCTGCAAAGCTATTGTTTTTTTAGCTTTATATTATCAGACTGGCTGGAAAAGCTAACGAAGAAGCAAATTTTCAGCCTTCTCAGTACAGCTAGTTGAAGAGGACTTACAGAAACTCGAGGAAGAATCCATACACGGCGGCGAATTGAATGTAAGTTTGTCTTCTTCGATCGAAACCCGCTCAGTTCAGGCAAAATATTTTATGCCAAATTGCCAGTTCAGTAAGCTTAATTGTATGATTAAGTTCCAACACTTCTAGATGACTATTTATTTGCTGTTGACGGAATTCTGTAATTTTTCCTTTCAAGAGAACTTTAGAGCACAGATTGTTTCGACGAATTTTGCGGACGGTTTTCTGCCAAGTTTTACAATGAAATAAACGTCGACCCGACGCCGGCAGTGTTCAAAATATCGCTTACTGTCTTTGATTCCTTTTCTAAATGCCCTCTGAAATTATTATAATAGTAATAGAGTTGATGTTCTTGGGCGTAAATATGTTTTTGGCCCTTCTCAGTCTCATTTTAGCCCTCGCCGAAGCGGCTCGGGCTAAAATGAGCCTGAGTCGGGCCAAAAACATATTTACGCCCGCGAACATCAACTCTATTGTTATATTATTCCATAATAGTAACTCTGTCAGCACGTCCGCGGCAATAAAACGATTTTTCCGTTTGCGGATTGGAATAATGGCCCACGATATAACACTAACGCAGCGGTTTTCCGTACGAAAATACAATTTTTTGCAACATCGCAATAACAACATGGCGGCGACAGTTTAGCGTTTGTTGAGGAATTTCTCAGTTGAAGAAGAGCCTGTGAGAGAGGAGGAAGATGTCGTAGAAAATTTCCTGCCATTGTTTTGTCCATGAACTGTAGAGCCGTTCACGTCAAGGGACACGCCGAAACAGTGGTGCCAAGTTACAGTAGACTCCCACTGTCTCGAACTATCAAGGGGAACGGAAAATTGTTCGAGATAGCGGGGATTCGAGATAGCGAGGGTAGTGTCAAATTTCGTAATTTTAAACACAACTGAACTAGTATACAAATCATCGACCCGTCGGTACTTGCAAACTCTGCTCTATGTCTTTTTATCCACTATTAGCAATAAATACTGTTTGTCAGTGTTTCTTTTCTCTCATTCCGCGAACAAAACCTGCTTTATTGCAAAGAGAAAACAAAACAGTGTCTTTTATACAAAGTCCAGTATAACTATAACAATTTTTATTCTACTACGAGTGTTTTTAAAAGAAAACGGCTTTGTACAACGAATACTAAATATATGATATCCTACTGCAGTACTGTGACAATGGGTTTTTCCTCTTCGGAACGGAATATGTTAAATAATTTTATTATTTATTTAGTTTATTTTTACATTGTGACAGAATAGCCCTATATAAGGGAGTCTCAATAAAGTGTATGTATGTATGTATATGAACGGAACTTGAATCTGCCTTTAACTTGGGGGAAACTTAACTCTGAGCAACTCGCTTGGCTTACGGGAGGATAAAAATTCGTCACAAATTTCTTAATACCGGCGATCTACTGCAAACGGACTTCGGATGGACCAAGAACTCTCACACAGGACTTGACTTCAATCAGTTTCTCGCGATCGGCGCACAATAAATTGTAACATGGAACATTACAAGAAATAAAACTGCTCTATTTATACTAATGGTTGTTTCACTCATTACATCAGCCAAATACATACATTGCATCAGTCAAGTACAAGGTCCAGGCTAAAAATAATATTACAGTAATGTTTCTTTTGTTGGAAAATCGCTGTGTCATGCCACGTTGACTAAGAAAATTGCTTGGTCATGACATTTCGATATTATGAATAATTACGGTACACAATCGCTCAAAACATCATTGCAAAGGTTTGCAAATTTAATAAAACAGTACAATTTGTATAGGTAATCGCATGATTTCGAGTGCAATTTGGAATAAATAAGCACGAGTAAATTTTTCAGACTAACAAATACGGGCTCGTGTGCAATTTGTAGTCTGAAAAATTTACAAGTTCTTATTTATTCCAAATTGCACGAGAAAAATCATGTGATTACTTGTTAATAACACACTTGAAAAAATACTGTTTACGGATTACTTAGGCTGAGGAGCCCTTGGTCTTCGTAAAAATTCCGGAAGAATTCGCAAACCTACCGATAAAGTTGGGAAATCCTTCGGATGTCTTCGGGTGATCTTCGGAAATCTTCGGAGGTCTTCGGGTGATCTTCGGAAATTTTCGGAAGTCTTCAGATGAAGTTCGGAAATCTTTAGAAGACTTCGGGCAATCTTCGGAAGTCATCGGATGATCTTCGGAAACTTTCGGAAGGCTTCGGGTCAACTTCGGTAATCTTCGGCATACATCGTATGACCGTCGGGAGCCGTTAGGGGTCTTCGTACTAACTTCGGAAATCTTCGGAAATTGTAATTTGCACTGGTGTTACACTTTTTGCACTGGTGTTACACTTGAACTGCACTGCTCTTAGCCAATCAGAATGGAGTAATTTTTTCAAGTGTATTATACTCTGTAACAGTACTTCACATCGGGCAGTCAAAATGAAGATCGATTGAAAAAATGAATTTTAAGGTTTTACTGGTGCTGTGAATTAGTGAAACTCTTCTCTATAAGGGACGTGTACGGCGACACAACTTTTCGGTATGGTCGTCGACAAACATACTGTAGGATGAAAGAACGTCTATCGCACTTCGGAGTTCGCTCTTCTTAGGTCATTCAACATCATAATTACCACAGTTCGAGATAAGGGGTGCTAATTTAGCGGGCCACGGGAAGTCACACTTTGTTCGAGATAGCCGAGTTCGAGATAGGCAAATGACTGAAAAACAGTAAGCAAAACCGAGGGGAACGGGTTTCAGTTCGAGATAGCCGGGGATTCGAGATAGCCGGGGTTCGAGATAGCGGGAGTCTACTGTAATTGCCTTTTGCGTCAATTCTTCCTTCTTCGTCGTCAATTTTGCCTTCTCCTGCGTTAATGTTTCCTCCTCCTACGTCACCATTGCCTCCTCCTTGGTCACTTTTGCCTTCTTCTGCGTCATTTTACCTCCTCCTACGTCACTGTTGCCGTCTTCTGCGTCAATTTGTCCTTTTTTCTCCGTCACTTTTGCCTTCTTTCGCGTTCGCCTTCTAACTCCTCCCACGTCAAATTGTGCTTTCTTTCGCGTCAATTTTCTCTAGGTCAATGTTGCCTTCTTCTGCGCCAATTTTTCCCCTCCTTCTTCGCGTGACAGCTAATACGACGGCAAAGTCTCAGGTGTAATAAGGGGACGATTCTTCTCCTCATAAAAAGGTACATCTTTTTTAGGCTGCGCTAACCATGGCGAAAATTATTTCGAAGACAACCACCGAAACTGTTGCCTTTGGCAAAGGAAGATGAAAGTCTGTCAGGGTTGATTAAATTCCATAACTCCGAAAAAACCTCTCACTTGCTTTGAACAGCTCGACTGCATTGCTCAGTTTTCCACAATACGGTAAATGATCAGAGGTCAGTAACACGAGTATCTTATACATCATGTAAACAATTTTCCGCAGACCGGAACATTGGCTCGTGACTTAACATGCAGTTCGCGGATGCAGGTACTGAGATCGACGAGTTACGAGTTGAAATGTGTAGGAGAGACCGCCTTGAATTACCATGGAAGAGGGAAAATACGCCATGTGTGGCTTCATAGCTCAGTTGGAGAAGCATCGCACCAGTAACGCAGAGGAGTTGGGTTCAAATCCCGTTGACGCCCTGGGGTTTTTCTGGCTTCTTTGCAATTGCTTAAATTGCAAATAAAACTTTGAGGATCATTTCTTCACATTACACTCTCTATTCACAGTTCATATATATATACTTCACTTGTCAATACGCACTTCTTCTTGCTAATGCTCCACTTTAAACTGAGTGGAAATGCGTGGAAAGCCAGTAACGCAAGTGTTGCTTCGATTGTATCAATTCGAGGGAACTTTTAGTCGGATGTGAACTTTACGTCACAAAGAGTCGCCTTGAGTCACGCAATTCCGTTAAAACGTGACGGTGGAAGTGGCGTTCACGAAACTTTTCTGACTGTAAACTCTTACAAAAATACGCCTATAAGCCGATTCTAATGTTCTTCATCCTGTTTGGATTGTAAGCTTCTTACACAAGGATTTTACGATATCCTTGCCCTAACGAAGCAGACGTAAGTAGTTAGATGTGGATGGGTCTTGTGTTAGTGGCTTGAGGTCTGAGTGTACTTTGAGTAGAACCGAACCAGTTATTGTGCTTCACATTGTTTTACAGTACAGTCCTGATGTAACGAACATAATACAATGGACCAAAAATGAAGTACTGACGAGCATGTTGGTCGTATGGGTATTGCACAGATTGAAGCTGGTGTACCACCTCATTATGCTTGATCACCGTTTGGCTGTTCACTTTAGCTGTTCCAGATGGTCGTAACTGGTGTATAACAGAACGTAATCGTACTGTCATGTCTTCTAAGGTAATGCAGGTTGTTATGAACGAGGAAGGCACATAGTTAAGTACTGAGGCTGCTCAAAAGGAGAAAAATATTCTCTTACTGGAGATCTTCCGAGGGTTCGAGGTCCACAAGTCTTGGGTTTGTCTTAAGATTGTTGTGTGCTGTCAGCGTGTAAAGAAAGCTGGCGAATCATTTTCATCACTCAAGAATACATTAGTGATATTTATTTATTATCTTTTTAAATATTCTTTATTAAGCACACTTCAAACACTTACATATTACATTACGTTTCACATTGAATCGCACTATACTAAATTTACATTGACACTTTTAGTGATATTTATGGTTACAGATGTCTCTTAGTCATTAGTTATGGCATAGAGAATCAGAGGAGCAGCAGATAAAGAGGTAGATATGAAATCATAAATAATAATTATGATTAACAGTGGCCACAAGTTGTAAACTAATTTTGGTAACTGCTCAGGTTATCACTCAAACAACAACATTGTCAACCAGCCAACCAATGCTCTATGAAGACCATGCTTTAATAAAGCAGAATAACCAGTTTGAAGGAAGTGTATCAGAACAAAATAAAGTAAAATTTAGGGCCAAACAACATGATCATAATTTTATGTGTGCACAACTGACTTTAATTCCAAATAACAGAGAAACCATGCCACAAGAAGATTAATTAGAAAAGAAGGCCTCTCTCAGATCAAATTACCCATGAGGGTCTACCTCACTGAATAAGCATCTCTGAAAGCAATATTATTACAAGGATACAACCCTTGCATTTATTGCCTGAATGAGGAAAATACTAGAACAACAAAACAACTTTAAAGAGTCATTCAATACACTATTACCATTGATGACAATTGCTCGAGTTCCAACAAGAAGCAACCAACTGTAACAAAATGATTTAAGAAAGAAGTTGATACTGTCTCTGAGAAATCAACTACATGTACAGCTGGAGCAGATCCGCGGGGGGGGGGGGGGGGGGGCATGCTCCTCAAAACAAGTACTCAATTAAATTTCATCGGGGTGAGGTGCTGCAACCTCCTAAACCCTTTTCCTTGATCTACCTACATGTATATGGACCATCAAGAGAGTCTGAGGAGATACGAAACTGCTGGGTCTGCTGCTTACCCCTCAACTGTGATCAACCTCTACTAATTTCCCCTCACCTTCTTATAGGATGGTGATGAGAATTCAGAGCCTGATCACTGCAGAAAAATGCCTAGGCATCAAAGTTCTCAAGTGTGAACATAAGAAAAAGTAATAACAACGAAGGAAGAATTAACCAGCATCAGTCTGACCTCTGCTAAATGAACACCTCCTGTTGGCAGATGCCTCAGGTAAGCAGACACTTAGTCGTGGTCCCAGCCACATACAAACACTACATTTTTAATCTCCCATAAATGGACACCTCTCCTAAGCGGACACTTTTTCTGGTCCCAAGGGCGTCCGCTTATGGGAGGTTCAACGGTATAACAAGTACAGCAAAGGAATAGGTAGATGATGAATTTAGGTTAAACATACATTTTGGGCTACTGTAGTATTGTGAAACAAAAGTGTTGATGGGCCTCTACCCAGTCAAGCTGTCACTAATCAGGTAAAGGAAAGTTAAGGTTGGCTTGCACTGGAATTCACATAGAAGGGGCATGTTGTACACCATGTAGCAGTAAAATAAAATCAGCCTGTCCAATTGTCTCAACTAATATGTTTAAATTGGTGTGTTATTCTAGATACCGTAACATATACATTTTTGCACAAATCATGTCACACAAGACATGTCATTGACAAATTTGCAGAGATGTTGCATCTCTATTACCCTGGGTGCCAGAGGATTTTCTTGCACGGTTTCCAGTTCCGTCCGGTAAAGTCTCTATTGTGACCTGCACATTTGTTTTTCTCTCGTGGCAGAAGGCTGATACAAGCGAGAAAACAAACCTCTGGTACCCAGGGTACATCTAAGCCAATCACAGACAATGAACCGCTTAATAATTTTCCTGTGTATGCATGTTGTGATTTTGTCGTTGCTGTATGCCCATTATGTGTATGAAACACAATTATACCACTGCTATATGACCCCTAGTGCTAGCCCACCTCTGCTGGGATTGCCTGGGAGCAGCAGTGTCCTTGATAAGGTTTGCACTGAAACTTCAATCTATGGCTTTGTACTGATACATACTGTCATGATGTGAATGTCACCATATAATAAACATTTTATCAGTTTCTCCTGAATAGGTTTTTAAGATTATGTTGCCAAAAAGATTAACACTACTGGTATTTCTAGTGAAGGTTAAGTAATGTAACTGTAAGGAAACTTTGTTCTATTAAAAAATTATAATTTCAAAAAGATATCACCACAATACAATTCATAAAGAAATGAGTCACATGACTAAATTAATTTTTCATGACTATACATGTACATGTACTACGTAAACTATATTTTTACATTGCAGACCAAAGGGTACTTTCACGGGCCTGCTATTGTTAAATTTAATGCAGTCACTATTAAACAAAGAATTTATAATCATAAAAATAGATATGTAACTTTACAATGCATCTATAATTTGGTGGGCAGCACAAATTGCCTTATCAAGATACAGGTTTTTACAGGAATAAACATGAATGATAAATGTATTACAAGGCTGGGAAATTAACTACAACATGTAGGGCTTAAAAGCTACATACATAAATAATGCAATAAAGATCTTAGGTATTAAAGAAGAAGAAACTTGGGTAAAATGAAAATAAATAGAAACTGAAATATTTTAGCATATTTGATAAATAAACTGTAGCTAAATAAATATATAGCAGTCCTCATTTAAAGTAGCGTTTACTTTTCTAGATGTATGTAATATTGTGAAACTGGAGTGTAGACAGTTTTGAGAGTTAAAGATCATTAGCTATACTGCATATCAATAAAAAATATTTAGTTTTTCAGAGGTTGATGTTAAAATTATGCCTGAAATAAAACAATAGCTTATAACTAAACAAAGTGATTAGTTTCTTATAACTAAACATTATTTGTATGCCAAAACTTGTCAAAGGCTTTATCAGGTAACCATAAATATAAAATTCAACCTGAATATTATTACTTTTAAGATACAATAAGGAAAAGTGTCATTCAGTTTTGTTTACAGTTTACTATTTCAGAGTTAGAATTAACATCAACAAAAACAACATTCAGAATATTTCTGAATATTTAACATAAATATAAGCATTGTGTTGTTTTTGTTATTTATTATGTTTATAAGCCATGAATCATGTTTACCAACCTGTATAGATCTCAACCTTCTGTGATGATGCATCTCTAGAAAGAATAATAACAAAAAAATATAGAACAAAAATGAACTATAAATAAACTTATAAGATGGAGTCTACTAAATTTGCAAGTAATTATGAAGTCAATAAACTATCACATGACAGCTGAGTCTTCGTAAATAATCACTTCGTCAGCCAAACAACCAGATACTGAGATAAAGGGACTAAAGTGAGCCCAGTCACGATTAGTCACTGGTCATCATTAAACAATGCTATCCTAATAATACGAATCTAAACAACAGGGATTGTAATTTCCGATCGATCAAGATTTCCAGCTGGACGCTTTATCATTTCATAACAGAGTGAAGGCGCTAGTGAAGACCAGTGAACGGTAAACTGCTAAAAGCAGTGGATGTCAGAATATCAAATGTCATTAAAGAAGCACTTATAATCTTACTCGATGAATTTCTGGTAGTCTTGCATTCAAATACTCAGAGAAAGTGATCCTTACGACGAACTTGCTTGAATAAGCATTTTAAAAATCGCAAGCAATTTCGATCGACCGTACCTTGCATTATCAACCAATTCAGCCAAAGCTCCGAACAGGAATTCATGTGTTGTGCTACAATAGTTGAGAGAAATAAAGAAATCGTTAAATATCACTGAGTTTCATTTACACTCTATAAACTAAAATAAAACGCGTTTAATTTGTCACACTCTAATAGCTCAAGGCCAATACATTTGCATGAAGTCATACGCACTGCGAGCCGCTGAAGAGTGCTGACTTGCGATTATCGTATCAGAACCGTAGACTTCGTCTTACTTGGCGTTGAAAACATTTTGGTCCACTGCACGAAAATTATATAGTTAGTTATACCTTGCTATAGTGCAACGCAGCAGCAACTTCATTGGGGAATTTTTCCTGTTTTGTGTTTATGGGCAAAGCTTTAATTAGTTGATTCTCCCTTGGCGCGCATTAAATGGTCACTGAAACATGTGCGATCCAAATACCCTTACAC